AAGAGAAAGCTCGCTTGTTCTGTTCATTCACGTGATTTGATCCACCTGTCAAAATAAATAATACACTTAGTTACCGTTTTAGATTTTTATCTTCAGGTTAAGAAAAAAAAAGGAAAAGACACAATTTACAGGCTGAATTAGCATTATATGTGTGAGAGAAAATGCACAGTGACAGCGATTTGATAAAAAAAAGAGGGTTTATATAGAGATGTGCAATTGCTTTACCATCTCCATTTGCATGGACTTTTCTCCGGAATGAGACCGCATTGATCATGTCCCACTCTGTTTCATAGCTTAGCTGATGGTCAACAGGACGATGAGGGTTTTCTTCTGAACTTTGTGTCCATTCCACCACTGAGCTGGAGTCCTTCACACAATCATATAAACAGAAATCAGGTGATCTCAATAAAGAGCCATTCTCAATCATACCATAAAGCACAGAGAAACTGTCGGAGATATTTGAACTCTCAGTCAATTTAAATATGCAAACTCTCACAGATGAGTGAACTAACAAACCTTGCAGGCACACAGCATGTTTGAGGGATCTGCATCCTCTAGGGGTTTATATTCCACAAGGGTTTCACCTTCCTACAGATACAGAAGAAACAATCAAACAAAAAGATATTGGAGGAGTGTTGTTAGATGGCTATGAGGTTTCCATTTACGATATTTAGACTAATATTTACAAAATGGGTCTTATTGGAGAGAAATTCATACTTTTAATCATTAAAGGTGTATTTATTTTAAAAGATATAATGTTACAAACTATTAATACGTCAATAAATTCAATTTTTTTAAACATTAAACAACTAAAGTTCTAAAACGACTATTAAACAAATGATCATACAGAAATCTATGTGGGAATCCACAAAAATTAATTAATTAATTCATTTTGCTTTAGCTTAGACCATTATCAATCAGGAGTCGCCACAGTGGAACGAACCGCCAACTATTCTAGCATATATTTTACACAGCGGATGCCCTTCCCTCTGTAAAGCAGTATCCAAAAAATATTAAGCATAATTATTTTATTACATAAAGGGGCAGAACGTAGTGCAACTGTGTTTAAGCACAGCTTTTCAGCCGAGATGCAGCTGATTCGAAGCGACAACACTGTCGGCTTTTATTGTCCCTAGTACTTTGATGTTGATTTAAAGTGCCTTTACAATCACTATTAAGCATCACATAAGACTGAGACTACAGTTTTAGGAACTAAAAATTCATTTTTCCATGGCAGGAATACATTTCATTAATGTTTCATACGTTGCAGTGGGAAAATATCTATCTATCTATTTTTAATATGTTTTTAACTCATAATAAATTCACTGTATTTTTGAGTAAAGCCTTGGGGAATTTATTTATATTTTTTTAATTTTGCGATGTGCACTGTTTTTGCAGTGTATTAGCTGCCCTAACATAACAATTACACAAGAATGTGGTATAACGTCCTATGCGTGACTGACTGGCTTGGTAATGAGTCAAACAGTGTAAAAACATATTTAGTGTTATGGATGTGGATTATGGATGTGACATTTGCGGTAAACCTTAAAACACAAATACACAGAGAAAGTATATACTTTAACATTATATTCAAACATCTGTATATTTTTCAAAACAACTAACCACAGAGTTATGGGATCAGAAAAATATCAATCTGTAAACATTTTTTATATTTTAATTGAGAAAAACAAACATGCATTATGAATATGACCAAAAAAGTTTGCAAGTTTACAGTACACAAAATACTTTGTAGAAATTCTGTGAATTAAACTGCACAACCCAAAAGAAATGATGCTAATCAAAAAGATAAGACTCGGCTTACTACAGAACAAAAATGACTAATTTCATTTTATTTTACATTTTTGCATTTATGAGGAAAAAACTTGGGTACGGACATGACGTCTCTCCAATATAGATGTGACAGATGTGAAATCGCCACTTGTGTGATTTTGGTAAATTAAGTATAATAGTTTGAAAACATTGACACATTTTTGAGTATCTTTAAAGTAGTCTAAAATACTTGCTTACACAAAAAATGTAGGAAAGGGTTTTGCTATTTTGGTGAAACCCTGATTTTTTATCATGACAAGGTTGACAATTGCATATATATTGCTCATATATAAAATCATTCGCAAAGAAAAAAACAACAACTGAAAACCACCAAACCTTCTCAACAATCCTCAGGAATCCTGATATTAAATCCTGATCCTCGGATTCATCTGGAGACGAGTGAATAAAAACTCCCTCATGTTCAAACACCACCTGCATAACAAAACAATAATTATCGATTGATGGAGCATTAGATTGATCAAGTATTAGAGATCAGAAACATTATTCTTTTTAAATGGGACAGCAAACAAACATTTCAAGATCTTGTTTCAGTTCTCCATTCACTGTGCCTTATAAGGTAAGGTAGTCTGAGGTTTGCATTTAAAAGGATGGTTTGTCCAAAATGTAACTCACGCTCAATACATCAGGCATTGAACAAACATTGAAAGGCAAAATTAATATTTTACACTGACTGCTGAAGTTATATGTAGACTTTAAGTAACATTGTTATACATAATGTCAGGTTTCTGGCACAGACCATTTGTGTCTGTACACAAGAGCTCTATGTATCACAAGGAGTTGTGGGTTTTAATTTTGTTTCGCCCGTATGTCATTGTTTTTTTTTGTGTGTGTGTGTCAGTTAGGGTAGCCTTTGATTTGACATCCAAGACACTTTCAGCTCAAAATCTTCAATGTTTTTCTGGAAGAAAGTCATCAACATCTTGAATAGCTTGAGATTGAGTAAGCTGGCAGTTTTTATTGTTGAGTGACCCATCTATCCCTTTAAGGAATTAACAGCTGTTGATTCCACACAAACAAGTTCTTGCAAACTTCCTTAAATTAAAAATAGACATACCTAGGCAGAAAAACTGAGAAAACTGAGAAAACATGAGATATTCATATTTGAACTGTATATGGTGTAATTTTATGGTGATATGGTAAAATAAAAATCACGGTTGGCAAAACACTTGCTCATCTATGAGAAGCAACACGAGAAAACGATAAAAGCGAAAATACTGAGGTAAAGTTGGTTTTATATTCGCACTTCTTTGACAAGTGACAAGCTCTCTATATTGTTTACCATGGTACTTTGATATTCCGCATGAAATCACATGCAGGTATGATAAAAAAAAAAAAACATTAGCACAATTTGACTTTGAACAATGTTGTACTTTAACAGACATTGGCTGCTAACGTGATTTTGCCATTTTAAATTAGCAAATATTACTTTGCTGAAAATATATTATTTAGGAGAAAGTCTGAATATGCGAACATAAAACCAACTTTATCTCAATAGCGAACATGAGGTTCTGGTACACAATATCATAAAACTGACTACTAGATTTCTCATGGACCTGTCAGTACGTAAAGCAGCAGACAAACTGTCCAGCACGTAGTCAAAAATATGTTTATGATGTTCATAAATCTACTAGCCAGTTCATGACTCAACACTAGCTAAAGCACAGGCACAACTCTCCCATTATTTGTTTTACTGGCCACGCGTTTTAAACACGATCGATATTGAAGCTGTGGCGTTATCAACACCAGAGACGCCTCTTCTGACGTCCGTGTTTTTCACAGTTTGATCAGCTGTATGTCAGTGTTTGGCTGCTAGCAGTCAGGCTAACTGTTGCTAAACACAGCAGCTTCCTAGATCAGTGTATCATCTATTCCTCAACACCGACGGCTCAAAACTAGTCAAACACAAAACCCTATTAAAGACCCACATAAAAATACTTGTAAACCCGAATAATATATAGTTTTGACCGAGTATTCGCTTGAAAAGCAGCATGCTCTGTACCTTGGGAGGAGTTGTGGCCGCCATGTCGACTGCTAAATAGACGACGTAGCACCGCTCACGTGCCTGTCAGCGACCCACAACAACACTGACGAGTCATTTTCCGCATGGCCAACGACGCGCAAGCGCACTGCCATCGTTAGCAATAGCATAATAATAATTATATTATATTATTATATTACATCATTAGCAATAACAAGAAGATGAAGAAATGAATAAAGTTGTTGCAATGGTTGGGATTTTGTATTTTCCTTTCATATTATAGTACTTCCGCCAAAATGTAAATTTCAGATGAAATTACATTCGAGCTTTGCCTTTATTGCTGTAGTAAAAGTGTTTTTGATTCGCCAAACATATAATAATGATACGAAGAAGAAAGAAAGAAAGAAAGAAAGATAGAAAGAAAGAAAGAAAGAAAGAAAGAAAGAAAGAAAGAAAGAAAGAAAGAAAGAAAGAAAGAAAGTTAGTTGTTGGAATAAGTTGTTGCAATGGTTAACTATGCTTTGTATTTTTCTTTTGTATTATATTAATTTTGCCAAAATTGAAATGCCATTATTACATTCGAATTGTGCCTTTATTACCTCTTTGAGAATAAACAATGGTTTTCAGAATAGTAAAAGTGTGTTTTTGGACGCACCAAACACATTATTTGTAAGAAAATAATTTTAATTGTACTATTCTCAATTAAACAGGAATCACAATCTATTTTAAGGTCTTTGAAGGAAAAATACCTCAAAATAATCTACTGAGCTTTTGACGTAAAATTATTAATCTAAAAACAACTTAAAGTGTAAGTTTATCGAAAAATGAAATATATTTTACTCACTATTGAATCACCCTAAGTTAGTTCTAAAACCTTAACGAGTTTCTTTATTTTGTTAAACGCTAAAGAGGAGATTTTGAAGAATGTTGAAAACTAAAGTAAAAAAAACAAATACTATTGAAGTCAATATCTACAGATTCCCGCTTTTTACAAAGTAAAGAAAGAAAGAAAGAAAGAAAGAAAGAAAGAAAGAAAGAAAGAAAGAAAGAAAGAAAGAAAGAGAAGGAAACTTAAACAGGTTTGAAACAAGTGAAGGGTGACAGAATTCTGCTTTTCAAACGATCCTTGATTGCCCTCTAGTGGTACATGTTCCAAAGGAACTTTTATTTTGAAAAACACGTCCAACTGGCGGGAATCTTGCGTGCCAAAAGATCTTGCAGAATACACGGACAGGACATGCGAGTGTGTTTACTTCCTTTTGTAATTATCAGTGAAGTTATGTAGACACGGTCAGTCGTGAAGGTTATATCTGACTTCTTTTATCAGCATTTCAGATGAGAAGTTCTACAAAATAGAAAGAAGTGTGTGATTTGAGGAACATATCCTGACACAGAATGGTTCAAATAGTCATCTCGAGGTTGGTGTGAAGACTTGCCTTGTCTTAACTTACCTAATCTAACAATATTGTCTTAAAAGTGCTTGTTTAACAGAGTTTCGATATATTTCTCAGTAATGCCGGTGAAAGCCCTGCTGAGTGGCTGTTGGTGGAGCTGCAGGGAGAAATGGTGTCCAGACAAAACACTGGACTAGCAGGAAATCTGATGGGGGACCTGCACTACACTAAAGAGGTTAGTCCTTCTGTAATAACTGGACATGTTCCAGAGCTAAATACGATAAATGAATAATAAAAAGGTTTTCCAAATTCCACCATTAAAGGACACCTATTTTAACCCTTTTTCAAGATTTAAGATGAGTCTTTTGTGTCTCCAGAATGTCTGTAAAGTTGCAGCTCAAAACACCCATCAGATTATTTATTATACCTTTCAAAAGATTTTCTGTTCAGAATTTTCTGCTCTGAAAACATTTTAGCTGTTTTTGTTGCCTGTGCCTTTAATGATGGTTATCCCCGCCCAGCGTTCCCACGTGTCTGTCAGTAGCTGTTTCCATCCAAAACTTGAATGAACTTTATGCACAAAACTGGATTATCGAATAAAGCAGCGTTTCCATCCAACGAGTAAAAGCGAACAAACTCGTCACTTCCTGATTAACTGGCGCCAAATATCAACAGTAAAAACAGAATTTACTTGGGTAGGAGAAGCTGCATGAATCTTTTTCTTATTTATTTCTAATTAATTACTTGCATCTCAGAAGGCAATCCTGACACGCAGTGAATGCGTGGTGTCGTTTAAAGGCGTGAGACGTGGAGCACAGACACTTTTGATTCTGGAGGTATTTAATAATATAAAAAAACTATTAATGAAACGGTTAATGTGTTTTAGAATGACCAAAACAACATTTCAGTTTTACAATGTGCTAAGCCTGCTGGTTTATCCATACACACACATTTTTATCATCAAATGATTTTTTTAAAGTGCATACTGGAATTTGTTCTGTAAAAGTGTTTCTATCATAGTTTATGCGCATCTTTTCTTATCGAATAAAAGGTTTATCTTACTAAGTTTTGCGCATATTATTTTATGCATATTATTAAACAGCACAATGACAGATATAAGGAAAGCAGATCTCACATAACGTTTGTAAGAAACTTTCCAAATGATTTGATGTGTTTGTTGTGGAGTTAATTCAAGCCTTTCTGCAGCAATGAGTCGCACACAATGTCGTTACAAAGTTCGCGCACACACACACACACACACACACACACACACACACACACACACACACACACACACACACACACACACACACACACACACATTTAACTTTGCAAAGCAAATGTAACAGGACACAAGTTAATATCCACTGCTGTATGGATATCCATCATGTTAATGTTTAAAATAAACCTGACTTAAAGTCCACAAACAGGGATTGAAGTGTCTTTATTTATAATTGACACAGCTGTGGTGATAAATTAAAGACGGTAAAATTGTTGTAATTCATTACAAACATGCATTGTTTTAAAAACGTGTTAAACTTGTAAAACTCATTCTTCATCACATTTAATGATGATTGATGATCACAGTGAGCTGAACAGATCTTTTAATCCCAGTTGGGCCGGAAAACCACACTCCTACATCACATTGTGGTGGACCTTAAAATGGGAGGGATTTGGATTCTATTTTAATGTCAGGAAATTAAAAAAAGAGACTTGTTGTCTTTATACCACCCCAGTGTGACTGTGGACACACTACACCAACACACAGTTCTGTCCAAACAGCTTACAAAAGATGATTTTTATCATAGGTTCCCTTTCACTATTTAAAGAAAGTTTGACTAAAGGAATAGTTTGCAAAAAAATGTCATCTCTTCCTCAGGTTGTTTCAAATCTCTTTTGAGTTTATTTTTTGCTGTTCAACACACAATACAAGAGACATTGAAGAATATTGGAAACTGGGTGCCACTGACTTCTAATGTTCATCAAAATATCTTGTTTCAATTTAAAAAAAAAATGAAAAAGAAACTCAAAAGATGTTTTGAACTACTTGAAGTGAGTACATTTCCAATTTTGGACGAATTATCCCTTAAATGTTATACTTTTAATGACTATTTTAATTGATGTGTGTTATATTCTTGATCTGTTCTCTCTCCAAGGGCGTACCAATCCTTATAGTCGGACATCACATCCTTTATGGCAAACAGGTCAAATTGGAGAAGCCGTTTGCTGTTCTGATGAAGCACTCCGGACTCCCTCAGGATGCGGAGGAAAACATGGAAACCAACCAAGAGAAACCAACATCTTACACCGTCTCGGCCCTCATCAAAAAGAAGCTGATATTTAAAACCAGACCCAAACCCATCATCACCAATGTGCCAAAGAAGGTATAGCTAGTATCCCGATATCAGAGACTAAATGATCATGGAGTTAGTGCATTTACTGCACACATGCATTGTTGTCAGAAATGTGTTTCTGACAATAATAAAGAAGTATGTGATTAAGAGTGTTGTAATAATAAGCCTCAAGTGAATTTCAACAACAAAAAAGAAGAAGTGCTCACTTTTGAATTCAAGTTTATTGTATCAAAACATCAGTTACAAGGAAAATGTCCAAACTTAAAGAATCTAGTTTCTTGTACACACCAGAATGCACATAATATGTAAAGTTCAAATGAGATTAAAAGACCTTGATTGGCCATTTCCAGGTATTGTAGGTTCGGTATGAAACCCAAACAAAATGGTTTCAACTCATGACTTGAATATTTGATTCTGTGAGTAAACATAAGCTGCCAGTGGCAAACTGTAATCATGGTTAAATACTCTTAACCTCTCCTATGATGAACTATGAACAATTTATTATTCTCTAATCTGTACAGCGTTATGAAAATAACTTAACATGTTTTCCAAAAAATAAAGTTTCCTAGAAAAAAAATGTAGATACACTGATATGTGTCTAGATTTGTGCACGTTTAAAATATCTTTGAGATTTACATTATAAAAAATATATTACTTTACACTATACTTGAAATGACTGGTGTAAATCTAGTATTTATTAATTAAATATAATTCACCATCTTCAAATTAACTTACTGGTTCTGTGTCTGGCAGGCAGCAGAGCTATTTGTTTCCCACCGTAAATGTGGCTCTGATTCTGCCTCTTGCTCTACAGTGTATTGCTAACCCATTAAATGTCCATGTTTTCATTTTTAAGCCCCTCGCTCTGAGGGATTTCTGTTCCTGAGGAGCATATCAGTCTTAAAGGTTATAAACTGAATTGTATAAAATCTATAAACGTGATCAAGACTGCATTTTGATTGTAAACAAATGATATAGTTCAGGCTTCATAATTGCATTGCATCCGAGTCGTCGTAATGTTGCACCTTTTAGGATGCCGCAGTCCATAGTTGAGACGCAGTATTCACACATGTAATGCACAAGAAGAAGTAGGCAAACATTTCATAAACTTAAGCTCCTCTTTAAACTTGTCCATGCACATATTTGCACACTAGCCTCAGTGTTTAGATCTGTGCCAAGGGTTTAATTTGTTTTGGGGGGAAGGGAGAAGAAAACGTTAGCATTCATTTTGAACTGGTTTGTAAATTGTTAAAAAAAAAAAAAAAAGTTAAATTGTAAATGCACTAATTGTTGCATTGGGTAGGCTGAGGACGGAAAAACAACAGAAATACTAGCTTTGCATACCATAAAGCTAATTCAGTTGGTTTTTAATTTAAATTAATTTCTCTAGCTAACTGAACATTTCAAACAAACTAATGGGAATTATATTAATAATATTGTTAGGATTTGCAAAGGTGGTTGTATTCTGTAATATTAAGTTAAAATGCAAAAACTAGATATTAGGCCCGTATGTAGTTAATATACATTTTTAAGTGGGAAAAAGCAGTAATATTATTATATCATCAAAACAACATGCTTCTGAGGTTAAACATTGAATCAGGTGATTAAGCTCAACACTTAAATTATAAACCTCCATATAAATATACAGTTTAAAATATTATTCAAAGTTTACATTAAAAAATTATGCGTGACTTCAACTCAACAGTATATATTTTCATCCATCGCTGCTTGGGCTTAGAACTAGGGATGCTCAAAATAATCGATTAACCGTTAACCGAATAGGTGACCGATTAATGTTATCAGCTAAACGATTAAAAAAATATTATTTTATTGATTGAATGCGCTTTTTGCGTTAAGAGGGGCGTCTTTTGAATGGTTTACTAACCGCCCCAAGTGTTTTGCACGCTGCTCATCCCACAGCAGCAGTTTCTGACAACTACAGAGAACTTTTAAAGATGTAGGAGAGAATAGTGCTCGCTGTTTCAAGTTATCCAGAGCTTTATGAATTTAAGAATCTTAAATATCACAATATTTTTAAATATACCTTTTTTTCCTTGTCAACATAAAAGGAGTGAGGTGCACATTACGTTTTTGGAATGGAAAATCATGTTTGCTGTGATCAGACTTATTGGTTAACTCGCGGGACGGAGTGATAACGTATGACCACACGTGCCTACACACATATTTGGCAAAGAAGCAAAATGGAAGAATGTTGCTGTTTGATACAGATGAGTTGATGCCAAACCAGCGCTGATGCTGATCGCCTCCTGGATCTGTGTCATTAACACAACAAATAGGCTTTAGCTTTCGTTTTACAGTTTATAAAGCATGTATGCAAGTTAATGCAATATCATATTCTAACAACAAAACTGTTTACAAAAACTCAACATATGCGCATGTTGTCAGTATTGTCTTTACATTACGCAGCGGGCGCACTTGAACCGCAAGTAAGTGAGGAAACAATGTAGCAAGACGTAATCTTTAAAATAATGATTTCTATTAAAAAGGTAAAAAAGTTTTGTGATATAATAATAATAACATCGGGGCATTAAATCAATGCATATTTTCCGTGGAGCGAGCGATTTGAGGAAGTCTGTTATTTTTATTTGACGGAAGACAAAAACACATGATTGGAAAAAAGACAGCCTATGCCAGTTTTTATAAAGGATTCACTCAGTGTTTTCATTTTGTAATCTAAATGAATTATTTAGTGAAAATAATTTGGGGCAGGCCTATTTATTTTATTAATTTTATTTTGTTTTTCTATGCTTTAGGAAACACAGCAGGTGCGTAAAGATGCTCTGTTGTTATATTCTGTTACTATATGCTATGCTAAAATAAATCAGTATTTTAAAATGCAATATTTAATGTGTCAGACACAAAATAGACACGTTAATTTGTTTAAAAAATTTAAATAATAATTTAATAGTAATGTGACCAGTTAACTGTTAATATCCGATTAACGATCAACGGTTGTCAGTTAGCAAAATTAACCGAAATGAGCATCCCTACTTAGAACTTGAACAGAATGTACCTTAATTCTATTGTCTTGAGATTGGGGGGTGGGTTAAATATTAATGTCCTTGTTAATTGCAACACTTTCACTAAATAGTGAAAATAATAACAACAATGTATTTGTTTTAAATGATGGTTGTGCTAAGACTTTCATGGGTAAAAAGGAGAATGGGAGTAATATTAGGAGACCATGTGACACTTTTTCCACTGGACATGGTAGAATAAAGCACACTAAATGCTAGAAAAGAATCCTCTTTGTTTGCCTGACATTATCCATTCCTGGAACTGGAGTTACTTTATGCACTGTAAATATATACAGTGTAGCAAATATTTGTGAACTAAATTAAAATTAAAAGTTAAATGCTGTTTGTTTATTGAATGTTCATGCTCCGCCACAAAAGTATCAGCAGCACCAGAATATCTAAAGATAAAGTATGCTGGATTGTCAGAAAGAAGACAATAAAATACTGACTGGATTTGGCAAGTAAGACCAGCTTAGGGTCCTATGCAGGTTTCCTCTAGTGAGGTGCACACTTTTCTCTAACCTTTAAATTTCTCAAAGTCTAAACACAAATAACATGACCATGCCAACTTACTGTAACTACATTACCTATCAGTTTTATGCTAAACTTTGGCTCAAGTTTTGTGCCCACCTCAGCCGGTGCCTCCTCTGTGTGCTTTATAAACACAAGAAGCACCATTCCTGATTTCAGCTCATGTAAATCATGGCTTTTTCAAAAGCTTTTAATTATTTTATATGGACTGTTTGAAACTTCACGAGTAGCTGTAGCTAACATAGCTAAAACAACTGACAGTCTTAAACTTGCACATGATCCATAATTATAACCAGGATTGCAGCACCATGTATTATAGGGCCATTTCAGATAAGCCCCGACAGCATTTAGGCAGCATATAAACCATGCTAGGCTTCGGCATAGGAAAGGTGGAACTGTTCTTCTCTTTTGTTACAACGTTTGGCCACTATGGCCAGGTAGAGCACCAGGAGTATAAGCCAGTAAGAGGCATAGACAATGGTGCCTGCGATAAGAAGAGCCTTCTCAGTCTCGGTAAAAGGTTCTTGAACCTCGCAGTAAATGGTGTAAACCACTCCACCAAGCAGAATGGCTGTCCACACAGTAACAGGCACAGCTCCAATAAGGTTTACTACCATCTTTTTCCTGCCTGATGTGCCCCATCCTGCTTTGTTAATAGTCAGCAGGGCAAAGATCTTAGCAGGGAGCAGGCTTGACATGTAGAGCAGTGAGTAGAGTGACATGAAGATCATGACAAGGCTGCCCCGCAGGAAGCAGGCGTAGGTGGCCTTCACCATACCCACCAGCTGGACCGTCAACAAGAAGAGTAAGATGTTCCACAACCGGCCTCTGTAGAACAGGTGGATGACTGTAGCCACCAGAAAGAAGGGGAAGAACCCAGTAACCACAGATTCATAGGTCATCCACAGGCTGTGCTTGTGGAACCAAAGAGCATTGTAGAGCCACTCTCGAAAGTAAGACTTGCTCCAGCGGGTCTGCTGATTGAGCCAACGCAGGTATTGTGTTGGGGTCTCGGTCTGGCATTGAGAGCGTGCCGTGAACTTGGTTTTGAAGCCAAAGCTAAGGACGCGGTTGGTGAGATGTCGATCATCACCAAAACTGCACTTGCTTCCTAGGAAGGTCTGGTGGTACCAGGGCTCTAAGAACTGCTGAAGGAGAGAGTTACGGTACATTCCTAGAGGTCCACTGATGCACTGCACACATCCGAAATAAGACTGGCAGGCCCGCTCCACATTGAAGGCCATCCAATAGCGGACACTGCTCAGGAAGGAGATCCAGGAGTCATACTTGTTCAGAATCTGAAGGAAACAATGAACAGAGAACAAATCATAGATATATACACTAGATATCGCATAGGGACCCTGAGCATGCGTCAATAGCACAGCCACATTGGTACAGTGCTCCCAGGAGAATGTCATTCAACCGCACTAGTCAAGACAGTGTTATTACGTGAAGATGCGGGACTTTAGCGCTGTCTACGGTTGTAGTAACGAGCAAACAAAGAAAACAAAGCACAAAGGCAGAACATTTCATAGGTAATATTACGTTTTTTTCTGTTTTTGTATGTTCTGAACTTTTGTGCTAATCAGGTAACGTTATTGATGATAACAGTCACTTACTGCATTCACCATATAAGGCAAAGCAGCTCCAACTCGCATTAAACACTCGGCTTATGCTAGTTTTGTTGAATAAAATCAGCAAACAATGCAAAAGAAATATGACAACGAGATGCTGCGCTGCCAGAAACTCGTATTATTGTCGGCTAACGTTAGTGAAAGAGTCGTTCCGGGGATTCATTCACAAACGAATCGCTCCCTCCGTCAGTATGAGAAGTGAAAGCAGGAGAGGAGCTGTGTTTCAGGACATGATTAGATCAAATTTAATAGGGAGGGTGAATAGTACATTTCTGTACACACAAACACAAGCTTTTTGTCAGGAATGCCCGTTCGGTGACTGATCCATCAATGTAGAAAAGTGATGTAAAATTATAATTTTCGTAATTAGAAAAAAAAAATTACATACTAACATCCAGGAAAACTCCCGATCATAGATATATGTGTATATCTCTGGCTTTGGATTCCGTCCAATAGACAATAGGCCAGGCGATATCTAATGTATATATCTATGAGATCAAATGTAATCCTCTCAAATTAATTTGTTGAAATGTTTCTACATATTTACAAATTGCCTTAAAATTATTACCTGAACATCTCCTCCAACTCCTCCCACATCAGGATCCTCCTCTAGAATCTTCAACATCTCAATAGTGCATGCTGGATCAAGTACAGTGTCTGAATCACATACCTGCAAACAAACAAAGCAAGAGATACTTACTTGGAAGACTTCCTCACTAACTCGTATACAAATATTGACTAATTTCCAGAAGGTAAGGCTCATGTTAACAATCACTGTGTGAACAATGCAAGGACTGTTGTAAAGAGAGGTTCACAGATGTTTCAAGGTCATTTCTGTTTCTGAACATACACATTATACGCCGAAACAATGAATAGTTGATGACAGCACACAGGTGTGCTCGGAACTACAGGTGAATTTAAAGGACTGACCTTTGACCTTAGTGTTGCAAGGATTCAGATTACAGGGACATTGAGATGACTAGAGTATGAACCGTTGGTTAATTGTAGGCATAAAAAAAAGAGTAACAAGATCAAAAAGCATAGAGGTATGTTTCCGATTTTTTTTTTTGGTTGTTAAATGAGGTTTAGACTTACCTGCATGTAATCCACTGTATCTCCAAGTGCTTTGAAGGCTGTATACATCACTTCCCTCTTGCCACCCCATTCCTGCATGATGCAGGAGTAACGGCAGCTCCGCACCACTCTGGCCACTCGTGCAGCCTCTTCGGCATGCACCGAGCCTTTCCCTCCTCCTCCTCCTCCATCCCCGTTACTGTGGTAATTCCCTTTCCACACCACACAGCCTGTCTGCTCCACTCCCCCCATCACCTCCTGGAAGATATCCATCATGTAGGCATCCTCCTGCCGATTGCCATCCACCACCAACACCACTTTCAGCCCGGGAAAAGAAATGCGGCGAATGCTCCGCAGACACTTGCGAAGGTAGTCTGGATCTTCCTGATAGGCTGCAATGCAGAGGGCCACAGTGCGGCGCAGGTGCTGCGGTCTGGAGGGGCCTCGCATTTGTCTGTGCTCCAGGTAGGCGAAGAGACTCTGCAGGAGAAGGTGGAGGGATAGAAATGCACCGTACAAGCCAAAAGACAGATGGTGCTGCTCTGTGTGGATGAACTGGTAACCTGTCACATAGGCTAGTAGGATTGCGAAAAGCACCACTGCTGCAAATAAGGTGGTGATGAAGATCCGCACCGCAGTGCCAAAGCGAGAGGGCATCTGAAGAAGGAAAAAAACATGACTTAGGTGTAGAAAGCAAAATCATTACTGCATCTTGTCTCTAACTTTAATAGACCATTTGTTCTTTTCTCTCTTCTCATCTTTAAGTGATGCTTCACGGTTTTAAGAATCCACTTATGCAAATATCCTAATTTTAGTAAAAGAAACTTCGCCACAACCGAAATTGTGACAATATTAGAACTTTTTACGAATCACTCTCACTCACTCTCTTTGTCTTTCTCACTTTTTCCCCTCATTCTTACAGGTTAATCACTTTAATTAAAGGCTAGGCTGAGTTTGGCAGGTAATCAGTGGGACCCAGACTAAGGAACAATCCTCCCCTTTTATTCATTCAATTGCCTGCAACTCTCATGGAACAAAGGCTCGCTTCACTCGGTGCCCTTATATCATAACAGCCACCGCAATGGAGAAGAGTGGCAGAAATAACGCTGACTTCCACTGCTGTGGATGTTGATTTTTCTACTACAGTAACTGACTGTTCACAAAGTTATTTAGCGTTGCGCTTGACCAGTGGTTCACTGTTTGACGTCATGCAATTCCAAGAATTACATAACTATCCCTTTCATACTGGCTATTTAGGTTTAACGTTAAAAGTTAAACCTAAATACCTTTCTCACAATCTTCAATACATCTTGTGGCGTGAACAAAGACCACCCTACTACAGACCCTGAGGGTGACAGACAGCAGGCAGAAACTGAGAATTATTTTTGACCCTAATTAGAGGGGATCTTCCTCCGGAGGCTTGTTAGGTTAGAGGAGAGATGTGTGAAGAAGGGCCCCTTGTCAAACTCAACAAGACACCGTCACACAGCAGCCTTTGATCTCCTGGTGGGATTTTTATGTCAACTCAAGATCCATATTCAGTGTTTGTGGCAAATGCACTTATTGAGACATCACAGAAGTTTGAATAAATATAGAAACATAATTATAGAATATAGAACAAGCATAGAACATATATTGAAAGAACATATATGGCCGTGTTTATCCCGGGAATTTTTATTAATACAAATAGGGCTGTACAATAATCGGAAAGTAACCGAAATTCATAACCTAATATTGTTCTAATTTGTCCAGGCAGACTTTTTTTTCAATTACTTTCCCTAGCACGTGAAGTCACATGACCCCGCTCCATTAAGACTAATTTATACTTCTATGTTGAGCGCACGTGTATGGTGTGGCACAGCCCTCGCGCTGCCGCATACCCGTGCACTTTTCCTAAAAAATACTACACGTCATGACGATGCAAAGCACAGGCTTTGTGATCAGTTTGATAGAGGTGACGAGTGTGAGCGGTGGGTATTAATTTTAGTTGTTCAACATTTCCTTTATTTATTTTAAAGTCAAGTAATGCACTCTTCATTTAGAAATCTCTCACTCGTAATATGTAAACATATTTACTGTACATAACTGGTCAATGAATTATGAGGGCAAAAAAATCGTTCATTGACTGTAATCGAGTTAAAATGTTCAATTTATCAAGATTTAGGATTTAGGCCAACTCGCCCAGCCCTAAATACAAAATCATACAGTGTACGTGACCTACATTTTACCATCATAACTGAACGTGCATACTGTAAGTGCACTGCTTGATTTTTTATGACCACACTAGGTCTTGGTGATGAATTGAAATGATCATGCACATCTTGTAAGAGAAGCACATGTATCTATGCTCAGTAGTAAATCCCCAAAGGCCAAAAGGAACTCTCAGGCAGAAAGTCCAAATAAGTCTTGAAGAAGAAACCCAGGAATTCCTTGGAGTTGCGGAATTAACAGATTTACTTGACTAATTGTCAATAATAATCTCTACAAAATCATTTCACAGAAAGAGTTATTTCAAGCACACTTCTTCTTTGGCTCTCGGCGAAGGCGGTCTCATTTTTTCCCTCTCGCTCCCATATCTTTCCTGGCTGGCTCCTCTTGTCTCATCTTATTCTATCTCTGAGGCTCTCCTTGCCCTGCTCTCTAAATAATAAAGAATTATGGATTTGATCAACTGGTCTCTGAATGCAATTGACACCATCTTCTTGATGAAAAGCCTGGGTTCAGGGGAACCCAACTGTCCTGCAGGAACGTTTGCAGATGGATACATGATGGACGGGTGAGAGAAGTGGTTCGATGTAGTAGGATTTTTTTTGTGATTCAGTCATCTGCAATGATTGATGCCATTTTGCAAAGCTTGTGAGTAAACTATGACCCTACTAACTAAATGCTGCTCCATCTGAAAGTATGTGCTGAGAATTTAATACTGATTTCATAGCCAGCTTTATTAAGAAAATGAGCATGAAAATTACCTTCGATTAATTGTGACCATGACCATGTATACTAGTATCGAAGTAGCAACTATGCTCACAACCTAGTTGAAGGAAATCTGCATTAATTAAACAAACCAGAATGCATGCTAGCTACAGCAGCCGTGGATGCCTACATTGATGTTAGATATGCCGAGGAAAGAATCCTCTTTTTTTTAAGCGTGAAAGGAAACAAAGATGGTTATGTGAGATATAACTCATCATTTGAATGGACTCCTGAAGGCACTACAGATATTATAAGTTATCAGAATACGTGTTAAACTCCTCAATACTCCTCAATGAGTGTCAAAAACACCCAAGGTAAACATTTGGCTTCTAGCTACAGTGCGTAATAGGTATATAGATTTACTTAATACTCAAGCATCAGATTTAGTACTCCCCAACCCCTCCTTCCCTGTCAAGAGGGAAAGATCTTGACAAAAACACAAGTATTTACATGAAGCTCATTTGTAATAATTCTAATACCAAGTAAAACAGAAATGTGGCTTGGGTAAATGTTTTTGATTGGCTTACTAAAAACACATTAATACCAGGTAGAAACAGGTTAAATTACATAATTAGGACAATAAACAGATTCAAATTCCACCGAATGTCACAATGTAAGTCAGCATGTAACCTTATTTACTAGCGTAGAGGCTTCTGACTTGCAGGTCAATGGTTACTCACTGTAGTCATGATGAGATGCCCAGGTGGAGATCAATCCATGACAATCAGATCCTTGGTTACCAAATCTCCTCCAGTGTTAAACAGGGAAGATGCAGGATGCTGTGATGGTAGGGATGATCATGGATTCTCAGCCCTGACTGAAGCAGGTGGTCAAAGATGAAAGGGTAGAAAATCACATCCAAAAGTATCTGTATGAAGTCACAGGTGCATGGCAGGTTGGCAGAGGGTGACCAGCCGATGCCTTCTCTTGTTCAGAGATAGTCTGTGTTCTCAGGTGTGCACCAGACAGAATGAGGACTTTGGATATAAGACAGGACCCTGACAAAGGAATGAAGGGGGGCTGGGAATGGCCAGGACTGAAGAGGGAGGGCAGCAGGTGAGATGAGGAAGCGAGATGAATGGCTGGAAGGCAGAGCATAATGGGTTTGGATGAATGAACTAAAACGCACTATTAAAATGCATTAGAAATATGATTATATATAGATATGGGAAACTTCTAGATATAAACTACACTGTTGACAATTTCCTGTATATTCTACAGTTACTTACTGGCAGTAACTTGCTGTAAAATCAATTACAGCAAAAATATACTGCACTGTAAAACCTAAAAAGTTGATAACTCAAACCATTTGAGGAAACCAATTGCAACAAACCATAAGTTCAAAAACTTATCCTAATGAGTACTGTGATCTTGATCCATTTGAGTAAACGAAGCAATTTGAGCACAGTACAATCCGATAAATGAAGAGAACTCAAACCAACTCAGTATTGTAACACCCAATAAGTTAAGGCAACTCAAACAGATTGCATCAAACCATGCGAGTTAAAAAACTAATCTATATGAGTACTGTGAACTTGTTTCATTTAAGTTGAAGTAATGAGTTATTTAACTCATTACCTTTATCACTAAGTACAAAACTTTTCAAGTGAATAGAATTAACCTTCAGTCAATTTTGATTTAACTACACTCATTTCATTTGATAAAGTTGACAGGTGGGTTTTACAGTGTATATATGTCAATATTACATGTACAGCACCACTTTTTTTGCTATATATGTATTTACAGAATTGTATGTATATCTTTACTGTAAAATATAGTCATTTTCACAATTCAACTTTAATGTATAGTAACATACCGCAAAACTGTCCTACAGTAAAATACAGCTCGTATTACAGTTAAATACTGTTTACAAAAATCGTTACCAGTGTATTTTTTAACTTCAACTACACCTCAAAATAGATTTTGAAAATATTTTTTTTTAAACAGTGGATGGTGGTTAAGTTTGTGGATATACTGTTAATATTGAATAATTTTTTGCTTGGCATATAAACCATTGTTACACTGAATTACAATAATATTTTTTGCTCCAATTAAAGTCAAAAATAAATAAATAAAAAGGACACATTCGTGTAAACAAAATGTATATTCCTCATAATGTAATAAACTGAATGACTTGTGTTTAATTTTTAGAGACATCAAAATAAAGCATTAAATAAAATCATATCAAACACAACATCATTCGAGAAAATGTGCAAATAAAAGGAAATTTTTAATTATTTTTTCTAATTAAAAAATAAATAAAACACTTGTATATATATATATATATATATATATACTAAATTTTATATTCCTCAGAGTAAAAAAATAATTTAATAACAATATATTTTTTTCCCTGACAATAAAATATTACAGTAAATATAATCATATCAAATACTACTTCATTATAGAAAATGAAAATAAAAAAGACAAAAGAATCAAACAAAACACTAGGGGGCACCTACAATAATTTGAGCCTTTAACATTGTAAATAAGCATAATTATGAATTTCTCTGAAATATACACAGCCATAATCGCATATTCCTATTTATAAATTAAATTTTTAAATATTTATATCAACCATTGTGGAACTGAATAACATTTTTGTGACAAGTTTTTTTTTTTTTTTAGGACACTTTATAAATAAACTAACTGTTATATTCCTCAGAGTAAAAAAACAACAATAATTTAAATGACTTCTGTTTATTTTTTCACTGACATGACATTAATATGACATTAAATATAATATTACCACCTACAAATACACACAGCCATAACCACATATTCCAATTTATATATTTATTCATTGATTCATTTTCTTTTCGGCTTAGTCCTTTTATTAATCTGGGATCACCACAGCAGAATGAACTGCCAACTTATCCAGCATATGTTTTACACAGCGGATGCCCTTTCAGCTGCAACCCAACCCTGGGAAACATTTACATATTCAATTTTTTTTTATATATATATTTATTTTATGTTTAACTGATTCAACAATAATGAAGTTGTTGGGTTGATATTCTAAAAAATAAATAAAATAAAATGTATAATTTATATAATTAAAAATATAAATACAGTCAATTTGGACATTTAAAAAAATTGTCCAAAAATGTTTTCTTTATTTGACCATACTTTTCAACTTCTTTTCATGTTCGTTGGCGCAGGAAAGTTGCACAAACCCATAAGCATCCTTGGAAACTCTAAGCAGCCCCTTGTTTGTCAGTGTATGATGACATGGAAAGCTAAACAGACTTCTTTTCCCTTTATCGGGCAGCACGCCTTCAAACACACATTCTGAAGCCTTCCTGTTTCACTCCATCCTCAGTAACTCAGCCTCAGGGCACTAACAAGAGTGCCAAGAAAACTAGTGCCTTATTCCACTATTGAACTAAAATAGTAATTACTAAAAACACACTTATAAGATCTTCAACAGATTCACTATGATTCAATCCTAAGCAGTTCACATTACGAGCAAAGTTACTTCCAGCAGTTGTGATTTTTTTTTTTTTGGTGCCTTGTACAAACACTTTCATACAGTAGCTTATTTGTGCAGAAACACACACCCACCCAACCTAAAACTCCACACATTGACTCAGTCTCAATTTTGAAAATCACACACACACACACACACACACACACACACACACACAACCATACAAGGAAAATATGCCCCAATCTCTTGAAGACCATGCTTTCATATTCCATCCGCTCCTACAATACACACACCAAATACACAAAGTGAAACTCTTTAATCATCTCTTACCTTCCCAGCCCCGCAGCTGTGACGGTGGGCTCTTTCCTCCGGTGTGTGTGTGTGTATGTGTGAGAGCGTGTGTGCGTCCTCTCCTCTCCTCTTCTCTCCAGCACAGTGGAGTACAGCACCGTCCTTGTTCAGCCTCCTGCTCACACTACATCTTTATTCCAGCCACACTTAATTCAGGAGATCCCTTATCCAAAAATACAGCACCATCACCCTCCTCTCCTCCTCCTGTTCTGCTTCCCTCGCCTTCTCTTTGCGTCTCTCCCTCCTTGTCGTCCCAGGACATGAAGGCCTCTGATAAGAGCACTGAATTAAGTTCTCACCTGGGTGGAGGAGGACGGGGGTCCGCCAGTGGTGTCCGCGCTGTACTGCAGTGGCATCTTTCTGCAGTGCAGCCCAAATCCTTCAAGGTCCCTTCTCCTCTGTGCTCTGCAGTGCAGCCAGCCTTCAACAAGACTCGGGACTGTTTGAGCAGGCACCCTCTTCCCCTGGCTACACACACCCCCTCTCAATGCACCCTTTATTGGCTTATTTATTTATCTATCACCCCTCCCTGCACCCCTCCTGCTGGCAACACCGGCTGATGAAGAGATCTGTGAGAGGAGAGAAAGACAGACTGCAGCACACTCAGGACATAATCAATATCAATTCCTAGCTCAGTGGTGTCATGCCAATGAAAACTTGCTCTGTTTTTGAAGCACGCTTTGACCCTTTTGAAACCCCGAAGGCCAGGTAAAGCATGCTTACGTCCTGCATCATTCTGACTCTGCTGCATGGCAGGAGGAGTGATTACTGTAATGGCTCTTTCATGGCTGAGTTGCAGTTGTGGGAAGGTTATTGTAGGGATGGAGGGTGAAAGTGTGAGTGTCCACTATAGGAAGCTTCTTTGGTTTGGCTTTAGCACTGCGCAGTACCAGCACTGATTTACCCCTTACTGTGGGAATGTCCTTGGAACCTAACCAGAGAGGCAATTATTGAAAATGTAATAATCCTGTGGGGTTTCATTGCAGAAACTTTATGACAAAGTGTATGACTTACAACCATGCAGCTGCTGCACACCATTATGTACCTCGGAAAGGTAAAACATTTGTGTTTTTGTTCTTTGTGGTAAACACAACTAATAAACTCTTTTATTAGTTAAATCTGAATAAAAAGATTTGCTGAAGGGCCAATTCAAAAATGAAAGGTCTTCACACAAGCTTTAAAATGCCTCGGCCAAAGTTCTTACCAGGTCTAGAAAATATGATCATATCACCCCAATTTTATCCTCCTTACACTGGCTGCCTGTTAAGTTTCGTATTGATTTTAAAACATTACTTCTTATCTATAAAGCTTTAAATGATCTAGCTCCTGTTTATCTAACCAACCTTCTGTCTCGCTACAATCCAACCGGCTTTTTAAGATCTTAAAACTCAGGGCTTCTGGTAGTACCTAGAATAGCAAAGTCGAGTAAAGGAGGTCGAGCCTTCTCATTTATGGCTCCTAAACTCTGGAATAGCCTTCTTGATAATGCCCAAGGCTCAGACACACTCTTGCAGTTCAAAACCAGATTAAAGACCTATCTGTTTAGTAAAGCATACACTTAATGCATCACTTAGCGGTATGATACATGGATGTGCTCCACACAGATTTCTGCATCTCGTTTATATACACTATGAACAGCAGCTACGCTAACTATTCTCTTTATTCTCCATTTCCACCTGGAAATACTCATCCTGAGGCCCTCAGACTATACAGCGCCACTGATTTGATTCAAGAAAGGCAACCAGATGATCACAAGATTTCCATAATCCTGGACCAGGCCGTATCCTGAGCAGCTGCTGTGGTGGTCATGGAGGAGTGGAGAGTTTGATACTGATTCCAGTGATGCTCTAGGGACAGACGAGTCTATGCTGAGGTCCAGCATTTTCTAGCCTCCGGCGTCTAGACTGCAGCTCTGCACAACTGGTCGTGCCCTACAGAGCCTGGTTTCACTCAAAGTTCTTTAATTCTTCAGTTTCGCCAATTGGTGAAGTTTTTTACTTGCTGCTGCTTTGACACAATTTACATTGTAAAAGCGCTATACAAATAAAGGTGAATTGAATTGAATTAAAGAAATGAGGCAATTTTGGTGCCTGAAATTGCAAAACTTTTGAAAAAGCGTTTCAATAGTGAAATTCTTTTGTTGAATCACAATTATCATTTTATTAAAAACTACAAAAAAGTACAATTTGACAATAAAAACAACTATGACAGACTATGAGACTTTTGCCTTCCATATCCAAACAACTCGGAATTGAAATTTTTCCTACTTCCAACTTGGAAATAACGCCTAAAACTTTGTTGGAAGTTGGACGTCTGTGAACCCTGACTTTGGCGAGACGCAACATTTACTATAATTTCACAGGTGGTGGATAGTTCTGCTTCAGTGAGGTTAGCCTGGAGCTACCTTATGTGAAACAAATAAAAAAAGATTAACTTAAAGTTTATTAACAACACAAAATGAGTGGGAAACCTAATTATAAAGGCTATTTCTGAGAAAATGTTAGCTCGATAATGCAATATATATATATATATATATATATATATATATATATATATATATATATATATATATATATATATATATATATATATAATGTTCCTTTTGTTTTTCACCAAAACATTTTCTATTCTTACTGTTTTAATTCAATTCATCTTTATTTCTATAACGCTTTTACAATGTAGATTGTGTCAAAGCAACTACACATAGAAGAATATAGTAGATTAAAGATGCGTCAGTCCAGTTTTTAAAGTTTAAGTTCAGTTCAGTGTGGTTTGTTTTTCACTGCTGAGAGTCCAAACACTTAAAAGCAAATGCATTGATGTCCCGACCCATGCAAGCCGGCGAGGAACAAACTTCATCAATTGACGAAACTGAAGGGAAAAAAAAGCTTGAGAGAAACCAGGCTCAGTTGGGTACGACCATTTGCTCTCTGGCCAAACGTCTTGTGCAGAGCTACAGTCATAATGAGCACAATAATATGAAATGTTATGAAATATTCACATCTGACATGATGGCAATATGACTGACATGTGATTTACTAGACAGAATTGAGGTTGAAAGTGGAACAATTTAACCCTGAAGTTCCCACCTTTAACTTTGGACTGCAGCATTTGGGATTGTTGACATGTAAATGTAATAAACAAGTCATTTAATTTGTCTATATTTACATTTAAAATGATTGCCGGCCCTATTGTGAGCATTTCATGTTTCGGTTGCTGGTTCGAGTGCTGGCCAGTTGGCGTTTCTGTGTGGAGTTTGCATGTTCTCCTTGTGTTTGTGTGGGTTTATTCTGGGTGCTCTGGTTTCTCCCACAGTAAAAAGACATTCAGTATAGCGCAATTGAATGAACTAAATTGGCCGTAGTGTATGGGTGTTTCCCAGTACTGGGTTGCGGCTGGAAGGGCATCCACATATCCTGGAATAGTTGGTGGTTCATTCCACTGTAGCAACCTCTGAAACAGAAACTAAGCCAGAGGAAAATGAATGAATGAGTGAATAAATGAATAACCACAACAATTCCTGTTCTACATTTTCCAAGAGTCATTTCCTCTAAAAAATGAAGTTCATTCATTCTCATTTGATTCTGAACCTGTACAATGTTATTTTTCTCACAAAATGCAAACTGTTCAGGAAATCATTGTTAACTAAATTTCTTTGGGTGCCCTTAAACAAAAATAAATATATTAATTTGTGTTCCACATGTGAAGAAAACTCATCAAGTCTTGGAATCTGGGTTTGGCATAAGGGTCAGTAAATGATGTCAGAATATTTTTGTTATACAAACGCCTTGTGTTATACAAAATGAACTATTTTTAACTATATGACCTTACAGTATATGGTAGACAGGAACTTAAGGCACTGCAACCTACCCCAGATGCTCAGACATGTGCTTATACTTATGTGCATTGTCTTTAAAACAGTCCTTGCAAAAGGAAAAAGAAACTGTTAACAACAGCACAATATTAGCACATTAGACCAGCTTTGAAAAAATAAGCACCTAGACAAACTGACGTTTTATAAGCTAGCATAAATCCTAATATTTGTATTTCTATGGTATTTAGCCAGTTCTGCTTCAGGACAAACCCAGGTCAGGAAGCCATAAAGACTGTTAACATAAATGGAAAGTTCCAGTATTGTGCACTGGGAGGAATTTTAGGAGAATGACTAATTGCCCTGTCGTGTCTTACAATGATGTCATGACCTTGCCGTCTTTATATGTACCACAAACATTCGATAAAAAGCAAACAGCCATTTTATCACCGGTGGAGAATAGAGAGGAAAGCAGCTCCCGCAGTGCTCTTTACACAGATGTATAGCTTTTGCTGGCCTCTAACCTCAGCGTAGCAGATAACAAAAGGCACAATGCTAGATTATCAATGCCAAGACAGCTTTTTTTTTTGGTTTAAGGAAAGAAATGTGAGTGTGAAAATTTGTCAATTTTGGGGAATATAATTTAAGCTAAAACATCAATCACAGCTTGCCTGCATTACACTATGATGGGTTCAGAAAATAATGCAATTCAACAAGGTAGTTTAATGCATCACATTAAAAGATTTTTTAATAATTATAATAAAGTTAATGAGGTGGCATAATAGCACAGTGGGTAGTGCTGTCGCCTCACAGCAAGAAGGTCAATGGTTCGAGCCCCGGCTGGGCCAGTTGCCATTTCTGTGTGGAGTTTGCACATTCTACCCGTTTTCAGGTTTCCTCCTTGTGCTACGGTTTCCCCCAGAAGTCCAAAGACATGCGCTATAGGTGAATTGGTTGAGCTAAATTGTCCGTAGAGTATGTTTGTATGTCTTGGTCCTCCAAGTTGGCGGTTAAGTGTTGGGCTAACGACCCACCACGTAAAAAAGAGATGTTACAAAACACCAACATGGTGCGGCTAAATATCAACTTCGATATAAAATGGCCCTGGGAGTAAGTAATAAAACTAACAATAACAAAAGTGTAATAAATAATAAGAGAAAGGATTTTTAATGGAAATAACAACTGAGGTATTGGTGCAACGATCACCAAATATTACTCTATTAAAAAAAAATATCAATAAAGAATGAAGTTTTTGGGATTTTTTTAAAAGATCAGCAGTAGGTGGTAGTAGAGCTGCACAATTAATCGTAAAACGATCGCAATCTCAATTCGACCCCCTAGACGATCTTAATCCAGCATTTCTACGATTCTGTCAATCACATTTTCAAGTTCAGGAGAGAAGCAATGGTGGCCGCACAAGTCTTCACATTGTTTTACAAACGTTGTTCAGCAACTTGGACACTTCCAAATGATGTATTTATAAGATATAATTCACCCCAAAAATGTCATTTCTGTCTTCATGTAATGTATTTGACCGCAAAATCACACATGACGTGAGCTGACCGTCAGCTGTTACTACAGAAAGGACATGCGTGCACCAGTGAATGAAGTCTACTGCATAGGCTGTGAATAACAGCTAATTAAATAACATTCAGTTTGTAAATAACATTCAGTTTGTGGCACAGAGTGATCGTTTGGAAGCCGCATGGAAAGTAAGCCACTCTTAGCAGTATAAAATGAAACCGAAAACGCACATAGCCAGATGTAGCTGACTGATTCCAGCCCAAAAAGTATCCAAAACTCACCGAAATGCAAAAATACCCACCCAGTCTTCTGTATTCACAAAAATCACGTTAGTGACAGATTTTAAGCAGAAAATTACAGATTGTAAGTATATGTCTCAAACAATGTTCCAACATCAGAATTATCATCAGCATTAATGAACAGGACAAATCTAAAGTCTGTTCAAGTCCACTATTCCAAGTCTGTGCAAAATTTAGCATTTTAACCAACAGTACAGCTACACAAAGCCTATTGCTGTTTTACCACATGTTTGAGACAAACAATAATAATAGCCCATCATATTAACCTTTATTTTACATCTACAGAATCGTGAGAAAATCATGATCTTTATTTTAGGCAAAAAAATTGCGATTCTCATTTTAGTCAGAATCGTCCAGCTCTAGCTGGTAGATATAAATATACTTACAGTATATATGTATAGATATATATTAATATATAATATATATGTAAAAATATCTAAATATATATGTGAATATATACATATATATATACACGATACAAAAAACGGAAATAAAGGAGTGGACGGTTATTTTTTCAGATTAACTTATTGTACATACATTTGTAGG